TCTTTCAATAGGTAATCCAACCTTCCAAGCCAACTCACACACCAGACTCAATAACCACCCATAAGTTGGGCTTGGGTTGTAATTTCTGAGACACCATTAGTTACAATCACATGGTCTCTGTCATTGATTACTTCAAAACATCAACAATAGTTCCTTATGGATTCAACTCCGGACTTAATCGGATTATTACTACAGCTTGACTGTATGCACTTGAGTGTACACATTTTGGATCAAGTCATGGTAGACATTCCCGTCCAAAAAGTATCTTTCACAAAGATCGGCACCAAACGACCCCTCTCACTGTATAGTTTGCATTTTCACCTTGCATCTTTAAACAGTAATTATGTATCGCAGAAGTGTCTCCTTCCACAAGCGTCTCCTTATTTTGTCAATGTAGTTTTTACAATCCTTCTCTGAAAAAGAGATATTCTCATGCCCCCTACTTTAACCACAAATGAATTAAAATTTTTATTTATTCTAATCCCCGCCCTATCATTCAATTCAAACTTCTTTTTTACATTTGGTCTCATCACTCGATTGCAACGAAAGAATCGAGCTTTGCTTGGACTCACCTCATGGTTATGATCCTGCATGACAATGTTCAGTCGCCACTTTCTATCAGCTCATAAAATTGCTAGGACCTTAGCCTTATAGCCTGTTATGATGCTTAGACGCTATTTGAAAGGATTTTTGGAATTGTACTCTGACTTTCTTGATCGAGAACAACAAATCGTCAAATATTTCAACTCACCATCATCTCCTTTTGCCGATGATCTTATCTTAACTAGGAACCCCAATCGCTTGACATAATCTGTGTAATAGTCAAACAACTCTTTTTTAATTTCAAACATTATCCCAACCTTAGGCTCATCTACGTCGATCATATTCTGTATTTTAGTATCAACATTTTTATCAATCATTTGCAAACTACTTGAACATTCTCCTTCCATTCTAAAAAAAATTAACCCCACCAAGTGCCTCTTTGATTAATCAGAGATTTCTTAACCACAATATATGTCTGAACATCACAAGAAAAATAATATGTTTATGCTCCAAATTATTAAAAAGTAAAAAGATGCATTCAACTTATAAGAAAATCAGTTTTTCAATGAATTCACATCTAAGACATCCTAAAACAATAGACATAATTAATCTTAAGTAAAAAATCTAGGCTTGACAAATTCATAACAAAAAAGCAATATGTTGTCACAGTAAAGCAACAAAGGAAACAAAGAAAGATGGGGACACTTACAAAAAACTTGATTGAAGCAATTGTTTACTCCAAAGGCTTCGAACGATTGTCTACTCCAGCGAAGAGGTAAAGAGGGGAGGAGAAGAGTGATCGAAGCAAATGTTTACTCCAAATCTTGATTGAAGCTCTCGAAAGACGACTTTGTTCATGGCCAACGTTGATTGTCGAAGTTGTGAAATTCTGGCGGCACTCTGAGTGTATTCTGTGGGCGAGTTTTGGCGGAGGGAAAGGGAGGGTTACAGAGAGGAAAGAGGGCAGAGGGAAGATTGTAGGGTTGGGTCTGGAGAGAATCTGACAATTCAAGAGGAGTTCCAAATCTTGATCGAAGCTCTCAAAAGACGACTGTGTTCGATTGTCAGAGTTGTGAAATTTCGGTGGCACTCTAGACGTGTACTGTGGGCGAGTTTTGGCGTGGGGAAAGGGAGGGTTACAGGGAGGGAAGAGGGAAGATGGACGGGTTGGGTCTGGAGAGAATAAAATTTGATCTTTTGTCTTTCATTAAAATTTGTTTTTTTTTTGGGGAAAGAAATTGATGAAATGGCTGGTATACATCAGCAGCCAAATCATCAAGTCTATATTTTAAGTCTAAGTTTTAAGTCTGTCTAGCATTACTCATTCTATATATGGATATAAATAGATATAAAAGATAAAAAATTTTAATATTAGTCAAACTCCTAAAATATAAGAGTTGTTAGTTTTTAAAGTTATTTTAATTAAACACAACTATTAGGGGTATTTTGGACAATAGAGATAAAAATTGACTTAAAATTAAACAAGTTTTCTTAATGGACTTATCACCAAATAAGTCCAAAAAAGGGGACCAGCCTCTAAATTTCTCTCGTTTTTTTTACCAAGTTATTAGAGAAGACCGAATTAAACCCCTTGATAATGCTACTGGAAAAGACAAATCCCATATAACTTGGGGATTACTTCTTCGAAGTAAAAACCACCATTAAAAGTCTATCACGTGTAGGACTTTTTCAACTTATTCCAAGCAGGCTCAAATTAGTATTTTACGTCAATAGTCTTCCATGTGACGAAGATGTCCAAGAGTTTGTGTAAAAGACAAACTCAAATTAATACTCCATGTAATATTTGGAATACGAGTCATTTATTAACAAAATTTTAAAAAATAAATTTTGTACTATGCACCTAGTAAATGAGGAAAATAGTTACCTCAAGTCCAAAAGCTACTGAGTATGAAAACTACTTTATAATTAAATAGGTAATTGTTATTAAACACAACCCATACCATTAAACAAATAATAAAATAAAAAGTTCAATTTTAAAATCAAAAATTCCAAAATCATTAGGTTTTACAGAGTAACGCAATACAAATAATAAAATAAAAAGTTCAATGATCCAGTTAGAGTTAAAAAAGACACTTAATGACAAAATTCAAAGATCTTATATGATTCCAAATTTAGCAAGAAGAACGAGAAGACTGCAAGTAAAAAAACCAACAATGTATTTTAAATAGCATGAAAAGGTACAATAATACTGAAGTAAACTACTACAATGGAAAAAATTTGAGAAGTTTTAGCAAGTTCAAGACTAAAATTGAAATATGGGATCAAAGGAGTGCCTACTAGTCCATAACCAGTCACACAACTCCAGTTCACTAATTTTTATATTTTGCTTCATCTTTGCTTTCCACCTATGTACATAGAGAGAATTTGTATTAAAAAAAAATAATTTCACCACACACTTTGTATGTAAGATCACGGTTTATCAAAATAATATGACAAAACTATACAATTCATAGTTTGTACTCCAAAAAGTTGTAAAGATATATAAATTAAAAATTAAAAAAAATTACATATAGAAGCCAAGCCAAACCTTTCTAAAAATGAAGATTGAGGAAGGAGGGAGGCAGCCGAGAGCAACGGAACCTCGAAAGAGAGGTCACCAAGTTAGAACAACTAATTTATGAACTCATCGTCTTTTAACAAGAAAGACTAGTACTCAAGATTATGTTAGCATTATATGACCACAAAAAGGTATCAGAATCCGAGTCTCATGTTCATTTCGTCCAAGCAAGATGATTACAAAATAAACTATTAATATATCATATCACATACACAATAATTGAAATAAATTGACATACCCTTTAAAACCATGTGAGTAAATATTTCAGAGTTGGTAAAAGGAATAAAATTCTTCCTCAAAAAGCTGGGTGGACAAAAAATTTTGTGATCAATTAGGACAGTCAGATGAATAATAATCTTAAAGCAATCTCAGTCACAAAAAATTAAAGACATACGATGTTAGTTCATCGTCATATGAATAATCTTAAAAGAATCTCAACCGTAAAAAATTAAAGACAAACAATACTAATTCCCTTATTATATAAATTGTAGAAGAGTGGTTTGATTCATGGTTTATTGTGAGTGAACACAATAACAGGCGGTGTTGTCCTACCCGACCAGCCTAGCTAGAAAAATAACATGGCACTTCATTCTTTCTACCCAAAGGAATATCGGGTTGTCCATTAACCTAGCTAAGCTTCAACCGGCCATTGAGATTAGTGGGCCAAGAACAATTTTCTACATTGACAATTTCAAAAATTTGTGCATACTCTGAATATAGTATGATGAGATTTGGGAATGTATGCCTTCATCATCGGGTTTACGACATCTCTCTCTCTCTCTTTAAATTGTGATGGGTTGAATTCACATTGTATTGAATGCATATAAGTTGACTTTTTTGCAAATTTGAAGTGATTGTTATTGAATGACATTTGGTTGATTTTCTATGGAATGGAAAGAACATGAATGAATCCTGAGATCACCCCAAGCGATGGATTGAGATGTGCCAAGGTCAAAAGATTGTATAAATGGGTTTCTACAAAAGGGAGTTGAAATGGGTGGATGCTTGGATAGGGTAGGGGCCTACTATGAGGTAAGGACCCACTTGTACACAGTGAGTCTAACTTAAATGCATTGTAGATGATTCTCAAAAATATATATATATATTTGTATATGTGATCCGGATGATGACCCGACCCGAAGTAATGTTGTGTGGTTTTTTAATGGAAAATTTTCTGAGGTTTAGTCCATGGAGCGAAGGTTTGGAAAATTTTTTGGGCCCGTTATACAGCCCAGTGCGTAGGACATATAAACCCTATTGTTTTGGTGATTAGTGTCAATCGTGGATTGTACAACCGCTCTCTGTATTCAACTCTCTCAATAGTGAAATCCCTGCAGCTTTGTGGATATAGGCAAATTGCCGAACCACGTAAAATCTGTGTTTTTTTCTTTCTTGTTTCTAATTGCTTTATATTCTTGATTTGTTTTTCGATTGTGTGTGTTTGTTAGTGAATTTAAATCGTGTTAAATCCCAACATATATATATCTATATATATATATATTAAAAGTGATCTCAATCTAAGGAAAATATTAGTAAAGGTGAGGGCTGGGAAGAATATTTGTAGTAGGTGAGGTGGTTTAGTCAATAGATAGAGACAAAGTGAGAGAAGGAAGACGTTAGAGGTATTATAGTTATTTTACTCTTATCATTTACAATATTAATAATTCATATTAATCGAAAAGGACATTAAGATTGGCTAGTCAAACGAACCAATGTCTCAATTATGTGATCCACGTGATAGTATTATGTGATGCCCTTTGTTACTTTCATTGTTTATATTTTTTTTCCAATCTTAATGTCCTTTTCTATTTCACATACAAAATACAAAACAAATATTAATTTCATTCAAAGGAATATTACTTGATAGAACAAACGTTGACAATGATAAATTATTGAGCTTACATTATTACAAAGAAACCGTAACGAACACGAAAATGAAAATAAAATGATAATTTGAAATAATTATTGATGGAGGGAGGACTACTTCTTCTAGCAATGGGGTAGATCTGGGGGAGGCGGAGGTAGGGTAGACGACGGTGTTCCCCCATTCTCCACAACGAAGGCGGTGGCGAGTCCCCATGGCAAGTGCACGTCCAAGTGACAGTGCATAAGCCAAACACCTGCAATGACCAAAAGTTTCGAAAACAAAAATTAATATAAGCATGGCATAGTTCGAATTTTGTAATCGACGATGTTGATTGAATGCTCACCTGGATTGTTAGCTTGAAATCTAACAACTGTCCACCCTCCGACCGGGACAGCTATTGTATTACGTTGTTGTGGATTGACAAGATTAAACTTTTTCCGATCGTTGACGGTATCAAAGTTGCCAAACCCTTGAGCCAACACATGGAAGTTGAATCCATGCAAGTGTATAGGGTGGTTTTCTACACCAATCAAAGCTGTGTTCTGCATCACCATCTCAACCGTTGAATTGAACTTAACTTTCTTCACTTTGGTTGACTTTGTTGTCATCACAAGTGACTGATTGAAGCTGTTATTTGCATTAGTGTAGTCAAATACCAATGGTGGTTGGTTAGGAAAATCAGTGGTGTAGATTCCATCAACGTTATTGAAAAAAGCTTGTAACATTGACAACTTGGTGGGGAATTGGAAAGATGCATTGTTCATGCTCGCAGCCAATCTTTGCCCAAATGGGCCTGCACAAGTGGCATTTGCTCCACATGCAGCCAGGCCTAGGCCCACAGTGATAAACATGGGTTCATCCACTTTCAGTGGCACTGGGATCCAGAAGGGTGAAGTAACCAACCCAGTTAGATTGCTGTAGAACTTGTGGGCGGTAGGGGTGTCATTGAAGGCTGGTAGCACCGGCATTATGGGTTTGGGCGAGGTGGCGCCGTCATAGACGATTATTCCGGTGGTGGTCGTGTTATCGACCAATACCCCAGCTGCGCTGGCATAGGGATGTGCTGCCATGTAGTAAGATGCCGGTGGCTGATCGGCGGTTAAGAGGACGTCAGTGGTCTGGCCGGGGGCGATTACGACAATGTCGGTGACATACGGGTTAGTGTAGGAGGCGTCAACGGCGACGACTGTCATTTTGTGGTTGGCTATGTTGAAGAATAATTGATTATTGAGTGCAGCATTGACGATACGTAGGAGATATGTTTTTCCTTGTACAACTTTAATCTTAAATGTTTCTGTGAAAAAAAAAAAAAACATTTGATTGTCATTTGTTAATGTAAGTGACAAACCACATGAAAATGAAAATGAACCTATTAAGTAGAAAAGTAACGTGCATGGGTGTCACTTACGAGATGAAGAACACGGGTAGAGATCTCCCGGCCGGCCATTAATGGTGAAAGCATTGGAGATGTTAGGAGCACCACCGCTGGCTAACGCTTGGTTTTCCACATCAATAACGTTAGCGTTCCACCACTCTCCTGCAATCACAATATTCATTGCTTTCCTCTGTTATATTTTGACGTGCTAATATTTTCTCGGTGTGCATGTTTTTTTTGCTATTCAGAAAAAGGGTAAGGGCAAAGGAGAGCCCTAGAAACACCCCGATAGATCTTTACTAGTGGAATTATGACTGTGTCCGTTACTTATCTCAATAACGAACTTAATTAGACTAGTATAGCGTTTAACCACTAAGTTTCAATGTGGACTCCGAGACTCAAATCTCTAATCTCAAGGTGAAAAGTTCGTTTGATTTTATTATTTTTTTGGTTGAGTGAGTATGTGGTTAAGGTTATTAATTGAGTTGATGTTGTGTACGCTCAAATTTAGTCGATTGTAAATGGTCAAACTTAACTATGGAACTTAGATTCTATTAAATCTAAGTTAAATCCCTCACCAAATATTTTAAACCAAAAAATAGTATATAGTTATTTGAGAATAACTCTAGGGTCCTACACAAGTCGAACTACATATTGATTAAATTTAACTCATTTACAAAACGAATTTAGAAATTTAGTCAAATTTATTTTATTTTACAATTCGAACGAGTACTAGTTGAGCTCAAATTCGTTGAAATAGGTAATGGATATGCATGTTACTTTTTCAAACTGAAAAGGTCTACTATGGTTCAAATTAAAATATATTATCTACACATCTTAGGTAATGGACTTTTTATTCTCTTCATTAAAGTTTACTCTCTCAACACGGTTGTCTTGGCAAAAAGTCTCGTTCTCGTTGTTGACTTTGTGTTGCAATCATGGATTATGAAGCGTGAAAGAAATTGAAAAACCAATAAACAAACAGAGACCACAGGATCGAATTACAGGACTTTTGTACCTAGAACAATTGGGACCTCCCTGTAGGGTTTTGGGAATGGATAAGAACGGCCAACTCTTGGCCGGATAATGAGTGCCCCATAAACTGTTGCTCTAAGCCATTGTACGTGTGCATGCCACCAGAGAGTCCCTTCCTGTCCGGTGATGGTGAACCTGTAGGTATAGCTATGTCCGGGCAGGATCGGACATTGAGTCGCATATTGCGGTCCATCGGCCCAGCCACTTAGTAGCTGGAAAATCCCATGCCTGCATAAAACGAAAGACATGAATTTAAACATTGATAATGAGAGTTCTAATTATATAATAACAAGTAATACATATATAAACATTTCACTAGTTTGTTTAATTCTATATTTGTTTGAATGTCAAACAACAAAGTTAGACTTTGGACACTAGAACATTATGGGGGAATATAGAACGTGGTCTACTTGTCATGACAAGAAGCTTAGTCTATTCTTGATATATTGTTGGGGCTCATAAAGAATCCCTAATAGGACCATTAAGTCGACCAGAAATAAACACAAATCGTAATTTAGTAGAATCATCTTACGTTTTTAAAAAATAAGTTATATATAAATAGAGTCATGCTTCAACACGATACGACTTCGATACTGAATAATACATGATTCATAGTAATACTCATTAAAATTGACAAGTCTTATTGTCACCATATATTGTCTAAGGCCATTGGTTTATAACTATGGATTGTAGGAGTTTTGATGAAAACAGATGGAGTATTAGTAAAAGAAAAAGGATATGTGCTGGTGTCAAAGTTACAACAATCAAAGAAACCACTGATTTTAAATTTCTTAGTTTTGAAATGTAGGGCTTACCAGTGAATAGTAAGGTTATATGGTGACAAGTTGTAGACATGAACAACAAGGGTGTCGCCCTCTCGAACGCGTATCCTCGGTCCTGGAAGGCTTCCATTTACAGCAGTGATCACTCGCTTTTGGCACAGCCGCTGGATAGTCAGATTTTGCACCTGAGAAAATGAAATTTTCAAGAGTTATTACACATTTAGTATAAAAAGAGGGGAGAGAAAACCACATTTTTTTTGGAAGAAACAGTGTTAGACGTGCTTCCATGCATCTGTTTCTTTCCAAAGGCATAAAAGTATTGTTTCTTTCAAACAATATGGGTCGGATTGAGCTCTTGCAGTTACGATTGGTGTATGATGTTGGGTAAAATACGAGGGACTAAATGATATATAAGCTTGAAGAAAATCAACAGGAGTTAGACCAAGAATCAAATAATGTTGAAGCTGAAATTCGAAGAATGCTAAATTCTGTAACATTTCATTCGATTTATTGTGTACTCTTAATTGGCTCTCTATTGTGGAAACTTTGGTTCTTCCATGGATTCTACCCCAATTCCACTCATACATTTAAATTAGTTTTTTTTATTACAGGGTGTGCAAGATTGTGCCGACTACTCCCTCAGGTTTTAAGACTGACTACCGTAGCTTGACTGAAGAACAATGGTGCCTTACCCTTATAGGGTGTGAGAAGTATCAAACCTACGATCACCGTAAAGGTTATCATTTAAATTATTATTCTCAAGACACAGCTGAAAATTGAGAAAGAAAAAATGGAACAGCAAATCGAAAAGAGTAAGAGATGTTACATGGAATGAATGCTCAACAATTGCAGCAGAAGTAAGTGTTGAAGCCAGAAGAGCTAAAGCGCATGCCAGTAAGTACACCACCCGACGTGCCATGGCTAATAGAGGGAGCTATGAGGGGATGAGGAAATGAAGCCAGAAACTCTACGTCTTATATGAAAGTTCCTTAGAACGTGACAATATGTTTTATCTCAAATCCTCTTTGTTGCTTTAGATTTGCTTTCCGTGAAGTCTCTTTATATAATGCTCGTAGCTCCAAGAGCCTTAGCCTTGCCCCCCCTGTGCCGTGGGAATTAGTTTAAAGAGTTAATTGCAATGAAAGTCCTCAAAGTATAGAATTATTTTATTTTAGTTCTTAATATTTCAATTGCATTATTTTAATCTCTGAAGTATTGAATATATTTTTATGTGATCTCCCAAGCAGATAGCGTCTAGATTGCTAACGATTTTTTTATTATAAATCTGTCACGTAATACTTAAATATGGGCAAAAATATAATTTGGATAACTCGTGATCAAANTATTTTTATGTGATCTCCCAAGCAGATAGCGTCTAGATTGCTAACGATTTTTTTATTATAAATTTGTCACGTAATACTTAAATATGGGCAAAAATATAATTTGGATAACTCGTGATCAAATTTCTATCCCAATTTTGGTCAAACAGTTAGTTAAATTACACAGTTTTGATCATGAACTATCCAAATTTTGGTCAAGAGCTAACCATATTACACATATTTTAGTCAATAGCTACCCAAATTTTAGGGAAGTGCTATCCCAATTAATTATTTTTTTACTCATATTTAAGTATCATGTGACAAATTTATCATAAAAACCCACAACAATTTCAATGTTGTTTGCTTGAGAAACTGCATAGAAATATATTCAACACTTTACGGATCAAAATGAGATAAATTTTATACTTTGGGGGTCTTTAGTGTAACTAACCCTAGTTTAATCTTGAAAGTGCCTGTGGTTTTATATTAATGGAACTTTCGTTATCTAACAGCTTGAGTTGGCGATCAAGAAACTGCATAAAATAAAGCAAAAGTCATCAAATCCTGGTTGTTTGAACAAGTTTAAGCCCTTTGAAATTGGTTATTTTGACTGCCTCCATTTTCTTGGTTTTTCCTTTCACATGAATCACGCAAATGGAGTTATTACAGCTTCACAAGTAGTTGAGGTTTGCTTACTGTTTGTTGAGCAATCAAATTTTAGTTGAACATTACTATTTTCAAAAAGGACTCAATTTATTTTTTAATTTTTTTTGTGCTTAAGGATTTTTTTTTTCTTTTTTGAGTAGAGGCTTTCAGGTTTGCTCTGAGGAACGAAAAACGTCTGATGATTAAGAGAAATTTCACATTCCAATCAATATTACATATACTATACCACTTGAAGTTGAAGAATATGTCAAAAAATAACTTTTTTCAAATGACAAGCACAACAAATGGCACTAAAAACTAAGTAATGAGATGTGGGATTTTGGCAATAATATAGATTACAGTCTTGACAAGTTACAGTTTTAACATTGTAGAGAAGATATAGTGAAATAAAAGCATACAATTAGTCTCAATTAAACGGAACTGTGTAGGAGCAGACTATCCGCTATCAATCCGTTAGGGCATCATTTCATACTGAGGGAACATCATAGTTTGGTTGTTAGATTACTGCAGATGATTTTATGTCATCCTTAAGAATGTTGGGTTCTCTTCATTTCTTCCTCCATAAAAACTATTTTTTTTTTTGGGGAGGGATAAGAGGAGGGGAGAAGGGGACTTGAATCTTTGATTTAAAAAAGGTGAAACTTTTACCAGATAAAAAGTTTCATTGGACTAAAGACACGTTGGTTCATAAAAACTAAATAAACAAGGGTTGCTAAAGTTAATTATCAAATGTTNTGGGGAGGGATAAGAGGAGGGGAGAAGGGGACTTGAATCTTTGATTTAAAAAAGGTGAAACCTTTATAAGATAAAAAGTTTCATTGGACTAAAGACCCGTTGGTTCATAAAAACTAAATAAACAAGGGTTGCTAAAGTTAATTATCAAATGTTTAACAGTTAAATGATCGCTCTTTATGACATTTTTAAGTAGGTGTAAGTAATCTGCCCAAGATTCTGTTTGCTTCTACAATTCTAAATTATATGGGAGTTGGAGATCAGTTGCTACTAAGGCCCTCTTGAGTATTCAACCAATCTGATCACCTTCCTCCCCAATCCAACCCCCCTCCCTNAGAATTCTAAATTATATGGGAGTTGGAGATCAGTTGCTACTAAGGCTCTCTTGAGTATTCAACCAATCTGATCACCTTCCTCCCCAATCCAACCCCCCTCCCTCTTTGAAAGTCTAACATACAGAATACATTATTTCTTAATTAACCCAATTAACAATGATCGGCTATGTCAATATCTGATTGCAGTGTAATCTCCCTACATTCCAAANCTCTTTGAAAGTCTAACATACAGAATACATTATTTCTTAATTAACCCAATTAACAATGATCGGCTATGTCAATATCTGATTGCAGTGTCATCTCCCTACATTCCAAACAATAAGAAATGTTACAAGAGCAGACTAAAGCTGGCAAGATGTCCTATCATATCCTATCATATTCATCCAGGCCAGCTATTGAATTGAAGGCCCACCATGGCTTGTTCAACTAAAACAATAAATATGATAAAAGCTAGCTTGTTGGAACACACTTTCTCTTGATGTTTATTTGATGACTGGATTGCTTTATAGTTTGGTGCAATAATTTATAGGTTTTCCAACATTCCCAATCTCTAGTTTCTTGAGTCTATGAGCTAGAGAGAGAGAGGAAGAGAGAGAGAGAGATTGATTTTTATTCTTATGGAACCGTTTTGAAGTTGTCTTGTTGGTTACGTGTTAGGTAAATGTTTGCTAAAACCCATTCAAAGAGATTAACGAGGGCCAGTCAGTTGCCTTGCCCATCGAAGCATACTTAGATTAACCATCAACAACTCCAAACGATGAATTAAAGTGTCATATGAGTAAATCCAAAAACCACCTCCCCACGTTTGCAGAAGAATGTTTGAAGGTAATATCCTTCCATTAAGAAGAATGAAAATTCTCAAAATCCAACCGCATTTTCGCTACTGGATCCTAGCTCGGTCCATAGTTTTTTTCAGAGTGATGAAATGGTAATGTAAACAAACTGATTGATACATTGTTTATGTTGTAGCCAGCTATATCTATATCTACGTATATTTATCAATATAGACGGCATATGATTAAAAATCATAATCATCTCAGATAATCATTTGGTCTTAACTACGTGGAGTAAGGGATTAAGAACCATATGCATCGGATTTGAGGTTCTTTTTAGGGTTTGAAAATCCAAATTTGACTGCAGAGTGCTAAGAAAAATGTAATTACCAAGACAAAATGGGTTCTTCCTGCTGAAAACACATCACTTAACGGAGGCATGATCCTACGTTATTGTTTCTAAAAAGGCCCGACATTTTCAGACATTCAGAAAGCGATAAAAATATTTGTATATAAGATTGAAAAGGTCTTATCTCCTATGATCTGATCACTCCTCATTAATATAACTAAACTATAGTTTATGGTACTGTTTTGTAATTAGTTTAATTAGGCGGCGTAGTATAGGCTTGACTTACGATAGCCACGAAATCATACACGCTAAAGAATTCATTAAGTCTAGCTGTTGAGAAGTTAGTATCCGATAATCATCAACGTGTGGATTGACTTTTGGTAAACTAACTCATGTTTGTCAGCATCATCCCTGAAATACTTATTATTTTCCAGTTAATGGCATATATTATTATATTTTGTCTCCTGTCTACCCTTTATAGGGTTCTTCTATGACCCGAGCAACTTGAACTTAACTTGTACTCACCTTAGTTTTGACTCTTTCACGCTCGCTTAAATTATAAAAATAAACTAATTGTCTGATCAAATTTTGTGAAAATCATTTTGTTAATAAAACTGAATTCGAGCATATATACTTAGTTCGACTCGAATAAGTTCTTTTTTATAATAGTTTTAGGTTTACTACAGATAATTACATTTAAAAGATAAACAACTCCAAACCTTTCCAAATAGTTGGAGATCATATGCACTAGAAAGAGAGAAATGAGATTATCGAAAAATTTGTACCTCTCAAGCTAAAATACTATGCTTAATTATATACATTTTGGGACATTGCTGTTGAAATACATGTTATCTTATAATTGATTATTAAGTTCTTCAATTAATTTTTAATTTTTTTTTTTAGTTGAGTTCGAGTTTGACTCAAATGTTATGATGTTCGTAAACAAGCTAGAGCAAGAACTTAAGCTCTATAGTTGAGTTTTGCGCGAGTTTGAGCACCATTAGTTAGAGTGGAGCTTGAGCATATACACTCAATTAGTAAAAATTAGGCTCGTTTAACACGCCTTCTATCAGCATCCTATAGCCATAGCAATTTCAATCAGGGAATCGTCTAGAAGCACCTTGTGAAGGATGGAATCCTCCTGAGAAGCCCTAACTGACAGGGAAGAAGGGAGTCTTGACATTGTCAAAATCACTATAACTGGGGATATTGATTGATTCTTGGCTAAAGTCTCACAGGGAAGAAGGAAAATGGGCAAAAAATTCTTACCAAGATAACAAATGGTTGTCAAGGGAAGACCGAGCTCTCTTGGTTCTTTCCAAAACCTATTGGGGAGAGAACTTTGTAAAAGGAAATGAGTTGAAGGACCCCATATATGCAGGTAAAAGTAACGGCCAATGATGCATCCGGATACAGATGATCATTTGGTCTCAACTAGCTATAGACGTGGAATAACTCTTTTCAGGGAACATTAACGATTTTATGCTAAGGAAATGGTACCCCCACCCCACCCCACCAATATGTCCATTGCTTTTTTTGTTAGTTAGAACATTAGAGATCATAAGGCAACTTCTCTCAAATCCAAGAACTCCACACGGAACCAGAAATTATTCATGGCTTAACAGCTTCCTAGAATACGCCTGCTTTTAAATGAAGGTTATGGAGATTCCTATTTGATCCACAGTCAATGGTTGTTACCTAGCTATTAAATCCTCGTTTATAGATAATTTTTTTGGGGGTACTTG